TCCTAAAAATACTTCTCAAAGTAACTCTGGGAAACTGTACACAGATGTGTCATCATCAGTTACCTGAGAAAGTGCACAATATCTTGCTCCAAGACTCGCAGAGAACCGAGACCTGAACCTCACAGCTGATGCTGAGTGCTTGGACTTAGGCTAAAAATGTTTAAAAGTCACCTCTGGTGCTCCATTAGATCACCTAATTGTACCCCTCCCTTGAAATATGCATGGTATTAATACACAGTGGGCACTTGATAAGTAGCTGTTTAGTAATTAATTAATTAAGAACAAGAACATGGTGATGCCAGTCTCCTGGATTTCTTCTGGGATGAGACTGGAATTCAGTGGCTGTTTTCCAGCAGACGCTGTACTGAGTCCGATGGGTATGTCCTATGTTTCCACCTGCCCTCGTGATCCACAGATCACACCTGCTAGCTCCAGCTCCCTGAGATAGGAAGTTATCTCAGGGACCTTCATAGGAAGATAAAACCAGACATTGTAGCTTCCATATCAACATGGATTCCAGAAACAAATTCAACGAGGAATATGGAAAACCTCACCCATTCTACTCTTTTTGAGACTGATCACTAGTTTATATTTTATTTATAATCTGTATTTTCCTCTGTCCAAGACCATCTCTGTGACTTGGGGGAAATGGAAGTCTGTGAACTCTTAGCAAAGAGGTAAATTATGCCCAAAGAGAGAGACACAGAGTCTGCCGGGTGCTCACCACAGGCAACATGGGATGTTGAGAAACAGTATGGGCAGCTGAAATAGTCACTAGCTACGTCACCCTCACAAATATCACCCTCAAGAACAGCAGCTACAGTTCACTGAACACCTGTCATGTGATGGACCCTACCAAGTTGTAGTTTTACGTGTATCTCCCTATCAACCTTAGGCAAACAAGAGCATTCTTCACTATCCTATTAAGAAAACTGTGTCTACAGAGGGTAAGTAAGCTACCTGGGTTGGATGAGATAGATTAACGTGGTCTTAGCTGCCCCAAAGCCTGTGTCTTTCTATGACTGTAAACACCCCACAGACTGTATAGACACTGTTCTCTAACTATCACCCAGGTTCCTTCAGCGGATACTGACAATTTACAGGGATTCGCTGGCTCAGTCCAGGGCTGTCCTCTTCTTCCTGTGCTCCCTCTGAGGTCCACGGCAGAGCCCCCACCCCAGGAGCGATGATCGTGTAGTAAAGTCCCAAGATGTTCTCACTTAGGAATGTGAGAGAAAAGAGAACAGGGCCTCTTCATAACCTATTATATCTTCTTTATCTGCTTGGAAGGGCTTCAAAAAATGCCAAGACATGGAGGGGAAATATCAAATCAAAAAAGGAAACGGATGAATGTAAGGGCATCCTTAGTGAATCTTCTCATGAGACCATCCCGATGTTGGATACTTACAGGGCTCACTCAAGGGTCCACAAAGGCAGTTCTAAAGGATATTCCATCTCCCAGGATAAAAAAAAAAAAATGGAAGCCTACCAGTGGACCTAGGATAAATGACATTTATTTTGTTGATATTTTAGTAACAACATAGACTCAAATTGGACACTTCATGAAGAATGGAGGTTTGGGTTGGCAGCTAAATCTGTCTTCAACTGGTGACAATGATAAAATATGATCAAATTCTTCTTTAATAAATGCAGTTTGACAGGTGATGTCACGGAAAAGATGAGATTGCTGGTTGTGAGGGAGAATTGCAGAATGAGATCCTAACTGGGAATTTAGGAAATAATTCGCCCTGGGTGTATTTCTTCTCTTCTGAGAAGCTGTCTCCAAACATCCAAGTTGGGATAAGGACCCTTCCTTGGTGCTTGTACAATACTCACATTCTTCTTTACCATGTTTATTGAAGTTATTAGCTTATATGTCACCCCTGTGCAGACTGGAATAAATTTCTTGGACAATATCTCTGTATCTTTAGCACCCAACAGTGCATAAAGCATGACAGGCGTCAGGTGTGGGTAGTGGAGTGGTGAGCTGAACTGGGCTGGAGTAAAGATATCAGTCAAACATCTTTATGCAAATTTCTCCAGAAATCTTCCTTTAAAGGATTTTGGAGACAAAAAGCTACAGGAAATCCCCACCATCTCTGCCCCTCCTGCGTCCTGATCCTGCCACTTCCTGGAGACAGGAGTGGGTTTCCAACCTCTTTGTTACTTGCGTCCACTCAACCCAAGACGGGTCTCTCTCCTCCAGCCAGTCTCCTGGCCTGTGTCTTACTGTTCTCTTCCTTTCCAAAAGTATGCGGCCCCTGCCATCTCCTGCAGGCTAAGCAAACAACCCAGAGGAGAAAGGAAACCTTGCCTGGAGATGCCAGTTTCTTACTCATTGCCAACTCAACTCTAGACAGTTTTTAATCCAGTGTAACAACCAGCCATCAGCTGCACTCCCTTCTATTTGGGGTCTACACTTTGTCCTTAGAGATTCTCGTAGACACAGACACCTTCATCCCTGTCCTCCTGTTGAGAATTCTATCTTACTTCTAAGTAGGGTTTTAGAATTCCACCCATAACATTGCCAGCAAAGAGGTATGATCAACCATCAAAACCAAAGTAATCACAAATATCTCTGGACTACTAAAATTCATTCCCATCCAAAGTCGTCATAAACACACAGTTTGACCATTTGGAAACTCTTGTGTCTCTCCCTGGTGAACACGGCATTAATTTGTTACGCATGGTTATTCCCAGGAAAGAGCATGTTTGTTAGAAGTTACCAAATTTCAATTTTACAGCAGGTGTGTTATTCTGAGATTTTCATAAATTGTTCATGTGAGGCCGTAATTTTACTTTATTAGTTTTTCCTGTTCAATACAGTTGTAAGCTACTGACAGCAACTGTTACCGAGATAACAGTTAATGATTTTCAGCAAATTTTTGTGTTATGAAAGTACACTTTTGCATTTACAGTTTATGAATCTTGCTTTAGCAATTACATGAGTTCATAGGGTAATTTGGACTTTTTTTTCCCTTTGTAACTCATTATGTGAACTTGGGAATAACCAATCTTTATTTCTGCATTTCTGGATCTATAAAATGGGCTCAATAATACAGGGTTTGGCTCGGTGCCCGTAGTTCAGTGGTTACAGTGTCAGCCACATGTACTGAGGATAGCGGGTTTGAACCCAACCCAGGCCAGCTAAACAGCAATGACAACTACAAAAAAAAAAAAAAAATAGCTGGGCATCATAGTGGGCGCCTGCAGTCCCAGCTACTTGGGAGGCTGAGGCAAGAGAATCACTTAAGCCCAAGAGTTGGAAGTTGCTGTGAGCTGAGA